AGGGACCCTGTCAGATACAGGGATGGACACATTTCCTGTAAAACATAGCTGTGTGGAGAGCACACACGCTGGATTTTTCTATCTGCTCTGTGGTCTTTGCTCCCCTCTTCAGCTTCCAAGGATGTATTCCTCACCTGTAAGGAGAGTCCTACCTTTCCAGCCACAGGGCATGGTTCTTCAGCTAAGCACTGCCCGTGGCACAGGACAGATCCAAGAATCCCCCGGGTTCCAGCAGGAGCACTCTGCCCAGCCCGGGTAGGTGCTGCCAGCCTGGGTCTCTGCTAGGACTTCTCACCGCTTCACGCAATGTCCAGTGTCTCTGCACTTGGGCAGGGCGTGAGCAGGAGGATGGAGGGTTCTTGGAAAGAAAGGGAACGGACATATACTTAGGGAAAGGTTTTGGGATCATGACACATCCCTGTGCTCAAGTGACACATCCCTGCTCGATGCAAGAGATGCAAAAGGCAAGACGTGATGTTTCCCACCGTGTTACTTCTGAGCTGCTGCGCTCTGAATGAGCTGGCACAGCACCTGGCCCTGGGGATCCCGTTCCTGCAGTAATACTGAAGGAATGCTGGATGTCCCTCCAAGGGTCAGGCACCTGGAATTCACTGCTACGCTTAACTTGCAGTCACTTAAGCCCTCAGGCCTATGAATCTTGCCGTATCAGGGCTGAAATGACGCAGGCAGTATGTGACAGCCCTCGAAATAGAAATCCAGGCTGCAGGTTCCCTGCCCTGACCACAGTCATTCCCTCCTGCAGCTGAAAACTATACAAAAGAGAACACTGAGTATATACCAGAGGAACCAAACCAGCCTTCCCTTAACGCCGGGGAAAGGGCCATACAGTGCTCTGAGGCGCAGACATACTCCGGTCAGACCGAAGCGGAGCAGAAGCAGGTTAAGAAAATTCAGCCTCAATGCTTAAAACATTTTTCAAGCATAGCCTCAGGTAACGGAAACAGATGAGGCATTGCTCAGTCACTGCAGTTTGCTTGCCCTGCTGGGAAGGAACGCGTCTCTCCTCCCACACCTTTGGTTCCCTGGCAAAGGACACATCCCTGAACAGGGAGAAGTTTGGGGGTTTTAAAAATGTGATTAGCAAAGCAGAAGTCTCACCAGACCACACTGCAATTGGAATGTCTGGAAAGCTTCAGAGCTGTGTAGCTTATCTTTAGACACTGTTCGGTCTTGCTCTGACCCATTAAATCGCTTTATGAGGTAAACACGAAATACCATGTCGAAAGGTAAAAATAACATCTTGGTCCTTGCAAAGCACCCACAGAAACAACAAATACCTCATCTGCCCAGCGGTCACACTACTGCTACTCCTGTCTGCATCGTGTTTTACCTGTTAGCAATCCCCCAGAGGCTCTGACAAGCAACCTGCATCTCGTTTTGATGCCACGTTTCCTATGTCAGTTTGATGCTCTCATCTCATCGTGTCACTGACGAGCAGCAGCAGCGCAAAGGAATGTGGAAGCAGCCAGCAGCCAGGGCTGCAAACCATTACCTGGATCCGTGGCACCCTGCTGCTAACAGCAACCCTTTGCTTAGCCATAAACCTCCTGGGAACCGAGAGGGAGCACTGCATCTGGGAGCCACAGCGTAGGAGATAACGGGGAACACAGCCCTGTGGGGACAGAACAACGTGCAAGCACTGGGCTTGCAGCTGCTCACGGCGTGCAGTTCTGAGCTACCATTGCGCTGTACCTCCCTGCAAAGTTACTCCAAGAGACCAGGACAGGATGCTTACAAAGTTCACAAATTGAATGCCTTGCCAACTAGGAAAAGGATGTTTGGGAGGGTTCAGCTCTGTGGCATGGGCACGGCCCTTGTCAACTAAGTGCACAGACCTGGAAATAAAACTCAGTGAGGGCAGGACACCTCTACCTGACCGAGTCAGACTGGAGGAGGCTCGCGGTGCATTTCATGGGTCTGAAGCTTGTTCCGTAGCCAGACCAACGGGAAAGGACAGAAAATCAGTTTGCTCTTACCTTTGGTATCCTTTTTCAAAATTAGTTTCCTTTGCTCTTTTCTGTCTTCCTTATGGGTCGCGCCTGCCTCGCCCTTCCCAGGCTTTCCAGCACAGCTGGGATCCTTGCTGACACTCCCCTTCTCCTCCAGTCGGGGCTTTTTGGACAGAGCTGCCGGGGGTAATTTCTTCTTAGCTCCAGCAGCTGCATGTCCACTCTTTGCTGTGTCCTGTTTACCTTCGACGGGCTCAGGCTCTGCAGCAGCTGGGGGTGCCTGCCAGGAGTTTGGCCCTTCCTGATTTCTTTGCCTTTCTGCGTTGACTGGGAAGGGATCACGCTCGGTCACCGCCGAGGAGAACGGCCGAGTTCTGCTGCAGGGTGGCTGCTCCTGGCGACACCGGCTGTTCCCTGAGTCAACTGGTGGCAAATTCACTAAACCACTTACTACGCTCTCTGCTGTCATGACTTCTTCCTCGTTATTGTCTTCAGTGGACTTCACTGAATGACCAGCCTCAGTCAGCTTGCTGGAAGGGATCGAGCCAGGCCAGGACTGCTCCGCGCTAATAGTCGTAGTACGTCTCTGAGCCTGGGAGCTAACTGAGGTGTGCGAAGGACCCTTTGTTTCGGCTTCATCCGGGTTGTGTTCAATAGCTCTTTGGATCTCCTGTTCACTTTCACACAAGGCTGCTTCCTCCTGCGTGTCTCCAGGCGCCCTCTGGAACAGGCCCCGCGATGCCTGGCAGGGAGCTTCCGGTGTACTCAAATCTCCATTCACTTTGACTCCAGTCTGTGTGGATCCAGTTTGTACCTGACTGCCTGTGCCGGGACACCCCACTGCTGATGCACCGGGAAGAAGGCTCTCTGAGTCGCTCACAGGTGTGAGGAATGGCAGTGTTTCTTTCCCAGTCAGTTCTGGAGTACCTAACTGGTCGCCAGCACCTCGACACTCCTCGCCTGCGGTGCTGTGGTGCTCACTCTGAGCTGTCCTGGGCAGTGGGGCACTGACTGGTGTTACACTTCCGTACGTGGGAGTTTTTGAAGTATCTATCTTTAACTCTTCATCAGACTTGAAGGTGCTGTCAACAAAAAATACATGTTCTGCAATATTACAAGGGGAAACTGCAGTCTGACTCTCTGAAGCCTGACCAACTCCTGAGCCACAGGACGTTTCAGCCCTGTGTTCATCAGCTGTGCAGATCTCTCTCTGCTCTCCTCCTGGTTTACATGGCTCAGAGTTGGGCACTCCTAGATAAAAATCCCTTAAAAACGGATGCCCAGAAGAGGCAGTGGGTGCCCCCTCTTGGTTTGCTATTTCTGTCAGTTGGTCTGTATTTTGGAGCAGATTGTTATGTGTTTTGGTTTGGGGAGTTTTAATTAAAGCAGGCAATTGCATTACATGAGCACATTTCTCTGTGTCAAAAACGACTGGAAAATCCTGACAGCCATTCCTTTCTGAAAGGTGGTAACTGTCAGAAATAGTGTCATTTTGTGCATTCAAGTCTGAGTAATTTCCTTTTTCTTGTAAATTCACTTTGTAACTTTCATGCACGGTGTTAACAGATGAATGTTCTTCATGTGTAAACTGACTGGTACTTTCACTGGGGAAAATGTCTTTCTTTTCAGGGAAATAGTCCAGTTGTCCTGTCTCCAGGCAGCAGTCCCTAAAACGACAGCCTTCACTAGGTACAGACTCACTTACCAAGGATATGTTGTGCTCAGAATGAAGCAACTGTCCAATGGTCCCATGTGATGTCCCTGACATGTAAGCTGGGTTTGCTAAATTCCCACTCTGAGCATTTTGTAACCTTCGAGGAGACTCCGCATCACATGTCTGGGCAGCATTGTTAACGGCAAGCTCTCCTTCCCAAGCCACTGGGGATCCACTGCTGGCAGTCACCCTTGTCCTTGGCTCCAAGCACTCCCCTGTACTGTTTGCTGAAACACAAATGGGTGGTGGCGTTTCTGTTCGGTTTACAGCGCTGCAATGTACACAGACACCATCTGCTCCTACCACTCCTGCAAGACAAATGTGTCCTATGGATGCACTGTTACACACTTCAGCTGTGGGAAGGAGGAGATCAGAAACATTGCAGTCAGCTTTCTCAGTTCTGTGGTTACTGGCTGGTTCTGTCACTGGTTCCTGCTCTTCTATCAGCTCCATGGGCAAAGGATGATCAGAACAGGTCTCCCACACCACATTCGATTCCGTAACTCTGACATCTGTTGGCGTCATTTCTAAACTTGTGGTCCCTCGGTTTTCAAAGGGGATTTGATAGTCTGAGTCATCTTCATGAAGAAGTTTCCACAGCTCTTCATGTACTGCAGATGTATCAGCATCTTCTTTGCACCCAGGTTCTCCAGACTCCAGGATCGATTTGGGATTGGCTTCAAAAACAGCCTCATCACCTGACAAGCTGCAGAGAATATCCGGGTCACTGCTCTCATGCACATCAAAACCATACCTATGCTCTCCCTCCCTTGGCTCATCACACAGCTTTGCAGAAGAGAGAACAGCACATAAGCACTCCTGTTTATTAGGAACAGAGTCTGTATCCCATACAGGAAGAGGTGAAATGTCATGCTTTGATTTGTTGCCATTACTAATAATTTCTTGCCCACAGATGACTTCTTGGTGACAACTTTCTCTTTTATCACAAGGAACACAGTGTTGAACGGAGGTCTGGAGGTCTGTATTCTTTGCTTGCAACGTGTTTTCAGTCGAGAGCATTTCTGCATCTGGCTGGCTGGTTCCTGCACTCTCACAAGCCCTGGAGGCGCCTTCCTGTTCTGTTTGGGACTCCATACAGGGTCTCTCACAATTCTGGGTAACACTCTTCAGATCAGTACCTTGATTCTACAAAGAAGAAAAACAGAGAAATGTAATTAAAAATTAGAATTGCAACTTGGCACATCCTGAACTCCAATCCTGGCTTGAAATGTACCTTTTGTTTTTAATATTTGTCAACAGTCAGGTTTCTGACCTAATGGATTGAAATCAAACTTCTGGGTCTGAGTCTGAAAGGAGGCAAGTGTTGTTCCTTAGAGAAGGACATGTTATGAAAGATTTCCCATGGCTGCAGTGTGCTCAGGCAGAGGCAGGGGCTGCTCAGACACTAGGCTCTCAGTCTGCTTAAGTTCATGGCAAAAGGATTACAGGCTCTATCAAATACTGCTTTCCTTCGATGCAAAAGCCACCCACTTCAGCTGCAACTCCTTGCATCCTTTCTGTTTCTCCATTCAGTCTGAGTAGGATGTGGAGCTGACCATGTGCTGTGGACAACGGGGAAGGAAGAGATACAGAAAGTTGCCATAAATGACTTTAACTGCTGTTCCCGCCCCAAGCACCATGCAGTTGTCACCACACTGTCTTCAAAACTCCTTGGCCAACGCACCCAGAAACCCTGAGCCAAGAAGCCTCAGCTCCACACCTCAGTCCCCTCTGACTCCCAGTACCCTGCTCTCAGGAAAAGGTGCCAGGCTCTAGGTCTCTGAGTTTAGACACACACACCTTCTCCCAAATCAAGGGGGATGTGCTAGGTGAACACAGAACACTAACAGAGAACTCTCTGTACATTATGTACTATCACACAGCTGGCACAGCTGGCTTTTAGGACTTATTACTAATGAAGCTGCTCTGAAGCACCGGGTAAATAAAGAATTTCACCTGAGGCTAGACCATGAGGTCATGAGAGGAGTCAGGAGCCTCCCACATCGCCCACCTAATGGAAGGAAAAGTCATCCAGCACAGCAGCTGCTGCACAAGAGACACTGCAAAGGTTGTTCCAGTTAGAGGCAAGCTGGCACTAAAAGGAAGTGTAAATCCTTGGGCCATTAGTGCTGTGGTCCCGTGGCTGCTCCACACTCCTCAGCAGAGCTGAGGCCAGAAGACCCGATTCCTACATGGAGAGGGAAAATACAAGGTCCTTCCACAGCAGTGAGCTGTGGATTTGCTGCAAGCTCCTCACCTTGCTCTTGGCAGAGCTGTAACAGACGCCGGGCTCCAGAGAAAACCCGAGGGCACTTCTACTTAAGCCCCTGTACAGAAATAGGAGTTAGTTCTTTCTTGCCTTTCTTAGGTTACACAGGCAGAGTCCCAAGGAGTTTTTGGCTTTTACTATGGGAGCTGTGAGAAGCTGCCCGTGTTTTCCTTGTGCTACAAGAGTAGTTTCCAGGTGGGATGCTTTTGTTTGGCTCATTTTCAAGACCACATGATTTTGAACATACACCTAAATTTGACCATCATTCATGAGTGTTTCAAACCAAGGGTTGGTTTGTGCCCAGCTCTAGCCCCTTTGTATACACCAATACTTATTTTTTATCCAATGTAAAGCTTCGGCCATGGACATGAAGACAGAGGGCATCTAAAGTGTGTGATAATAAGATTATTCATGATCGTGCACATGTATTTAAATATCTTGAGTCCTTACTATGTGAAATAAAAATGATGATTCAATTTTCCCACTTAGGTAAACTGGTGGAGCATCCTACCAGTCTGTACAACTATACTGCTTTCTCCAGCTGATTCCCTTACCAACAGCAGAGAATACACAAGTCCATGGAGAGTACCACTTCGGGGGGTTTATCTTTTAACCTGCTTGTACATTTCAGCTGTAATCTCCAGCTCTTTCACTGTTTTATTTTTAAAAGCAAAGAGCTCCATTCACCTCTGTAACATGAACTCTGTGCAGTAAATTCCCACCATTGTTACAAACTCTGAGCCCTGTTGATTTGGTTTAGGTTTCCAGCACCCTAAAAGGAGGATGATTTTGTTCATCAAGTATCGACCAAACGGAAAGTGAATCAAAACTTTCTCTCTCACAGAGAAACCTTCTGGGTTGAAAGAAACATTACTTTGCTAAGACCTGTGCAGCAGGCTCCATATCAGATTTCCCTCTCCAGCTGTCCAGAGGCCCATTAGTGCTACTCACCATTATCAGGCTCACTCTATAATTAGAACAGCTTAGGGTTTACTTGGGCCTTTTTCAAACCCAGATTTCCTTCCCAGCCGTAGCTGTCATTCAGAAGTACATGAATAGTACCTTTCAAAGTAATTTCAATTTTACATTATTTTGTGACAAGCAGGAATAAATTGCACGTAAATCAGCAGAGAGCTCATTGCATCAAATGATAAACTCTTACCCCAAGTGAGACATTCTCAGCCGGCATCCGATTTTGCTCAGCCAGGCCCGGAGTCCTCTTCCCTTCCCAGCGACAGTCTTTATCTGCCTCTTCTGTCTGACACAGCCCAGCCTGCATTTCCAGGCTTTCTGTCTCCCCAGGAGTCAGTGTTGAAAGGACACCTCCCTGGTCGGGGGACGGAGCGCTGCATTCCTTAACCTCTGCAGCAGCCTGGAAAGATTGCCCTATAGTACTAACATATCTGCAAAGCTCTATAGGGTTGAACAGCTTGAAGAAGTTTCTTCTCAGACTCTCTGTCAAGGTACAGACAGCATGCTGTGCGTTTTCCTCAGGCACATTCCTTCTCCCCTGCTGCAGCAGCACAGAGCCTTTGCCCAGCACGTCCCCATCTTCTGCCACGGCCCCCGGAGCCCGCTCTGTCCAGGCAGAGCCTATGGCCCTGGCAGGGGGCTCTGCCTCGGCAGGCACAGCCTCCCCGTGCTCTGGGCTGCCAGGTGAGACACCTGCAGCCGACTGGCCACTTCCACCAGTCTCCTCTTCACTCCTGGGGTGTTCATTTCCAATGGCTGCAGATGCGACAGGCACTTTATTCTTCTCTTTGTCTTTCAAACCAGTACTTTTCTCTCGGTGGTGCCCAACAGTGAGAGTCATCTCTGTCTGCAGAGTTGACTGGCTGTACATAGAGGGGTCTCTCCTTACATTTACTCCTTTGAATTTTGAGTGATGACCAGAGAAGCCAATGGGGGTATCCATAGGCGTAGTGTTATCTGACACTTGGAGCAGATAAGGCGTTTCGCTGAGGAAGTAAGCACACCCATCACAATCCTTACTCAGTTTTAGATCATCCTCATCATCACTTTCTAGCAAAAATTGTAATTTCTTTTTCCAGATTTCATCTTCATACACTGTCAGCACATCTGAACACTCAAAGTACTCCATGTCATCATCAGAGAAGTCATCACTTACACTTGGAACTTTCTCTGCACGAACCTCCAGAACAGTGGCAGAATTTGCAGAATCATCTGTCACAAAATCACTGTGATTTCCCGTGATTGCCTGCTCACTGAGCAGAGAATCCGTGGTTTGAGGTCTGCCCAGCCCAGGCTTTTCGTGTGCCTGGACATCTGCCAGAGTCTGACCAGATTCAGAGTCTTCTGTGTTAAGGCAACAGTTGTCTGTGTGACAAGGGGGTACATCTGTAAGGCAGGAAGGCACCTGTCTGCTGCAGTATTCCTCTGCAATTCCAGCAGTGACACTGACCGTATCATTAAAATTAAGCAGGTCTTCACCACTGTCTGACAAATCCCTTAGGCTGGAAATACTTCCCTGGGTTTTAATTACAGTTTTGATATCCATGTTGTCTTCTGTGTTAGGCAAGTGTCTGTGGGATTTCTCACATGGGGACAAGACTTCTGCTTTGCTGAGCTTCTTGAGCAGTAAAACAATGATTTTTTTCAGTCAGACCCTGGTGAAATCAACGTGGACTCACCCTCTCAGGAGTCACTCTTGTGTTCTGCAAAATGTTTTTCATCCTGCTCATTTTACCCTGAAGTCTCCCAGATGCTCATTTCAGTCAACAACAAATTCTGGGGAAGCTTTGTTCCTTGTGTCTGGTTCCAGTTCATCAAAAGTCATTGCAGCTGTGCATCAAGTGCAGCTCTTGCTCTGTGCACCTGCAAATAAAAGAAACCTGAAGTTTAAAATGACTTCTGAAATGGGTATTGTTATTTTCTAAAAGGAGGTCAGCTGACACATAGTTGCAAGCATTTTTCAAAGCAAGAAAGCATTATTTAAAAGCCAAGATCAGACATGAAATCGGCAACCCTAGCCCAGTTATCTGTGCAATGACACTCAATGGCAACACATTGCAACTGCCTGGAGCGATCTGTGCTAGGAGAACCAGCCCTTCAGCATGCCAAAACATCCACGTGGCACCACAACCTAGGCCTTAGCATGCACCATTTCAGCTTTTCTAAGCACAAACAGGAACCTGCAGACAATGTACATTATCACTTGTGCATGACTGCTACAGCTACCAAGGACCTCACGCCTCGGCAGTCCCATTGGAACAACAGCAGCTGTTCCTTGAACTGGCATTGCAGAAATACCTGGAACAATCAGTCTGGTTGGATTTTATAGGGCCATTTCTGTTTAAAGCAATTCTATTGTGCTTTGGCTTGATGTCTGTCATTTTAGTGCTGAAAGAACAAAGAAATGAGGCTGGTTGGCTTCAACTTCCTGCTCACACCGAGTCTTACTTTCCAACAGCTCTGCAGGAGCAAGATGCTGTGGGAATGCTGAATTGACACAGAAACCAAGTGAAATGTACCAAAGGCTTCCATCAGCTGAATCCAAAGAAATATGGAATCATCTCTCTCAGCCTATTAAAAAACCCTGTTTCCTAAGCATTCACAAATCTTAGCATTTTAGATAAGTGAGCTGGTTTGTACCCTGCCAGGGATACTGGGTCATTTGTCACCAGAGGGTACCCAAGTCGATCGCAGCAAGACTCTGCCACCACCCAGGGATGGCTCGTAGTGGAAAGTACTGTAGCAGAACTGAGTTTCAAGTAAACTTGATCTCATGAGGGATGCCAGACTCACACCTCTGAAAAAAAGTCACCTATATTTATTTCAGAATAGGCACCTTAAAGAGCACAGAGCAGCCAGGTATATTTTTGTTCCTTTTGGGCAAACCTGCCAGAGACACCTTTTCAACAGTTACCTGGGCCATGAAAAGCAGGAAGCAAAGGTGGTTAATGGGAAGGACACGAGAAGGGACAGCATTGGGTTGTGCACAAACAACGTGACTCCACGTGCACCAAGGAGCACAGAAGAATCATAGAATCATAGAATC